AGAGATCTCCATACTGGTTTCTATAATGGCTCTGCTAATTTACATTCCCACCAGCAGTGTATGTAAGAGTTCTCTTTTCTCTGCATCCTCGACAGCATCTGTTATTTCTGGGTTTTTGGATAATAGCCACTCTAACTGGGGTCAGATGAGAGGCTGAATTAGAAGTTTTCCAAAGGGTTGGATTGCTTCTTTTCCTCAAAACATTTGCAGACAAATTAAAAACAACAATTGCAATAACAACAATAGGTAAAATCGGAGCTGTTCTGGCTGGAGTGTGGGATGGGGACTCCAGTGCCACCTGTTTAGCCCTGAAGCACCTGCCCAGACTCACTAGTGGTTTTGAAAACCAAGGGATCAGCTTAGAGCTCTCCAGGGGGCCACCACACAATGGATGTTTCTAGGAGTTCATTATAAATTATTATTCAAAACCCCTGGGTGATACACATTTATGGTTCAAATTACCTTATTAAGAGCTTCGAGGACCCAAACTCTCAGGGATGACATTGGAGGGGAGGGCCGTCGAGGGGTGAGCTACGGATGTCTTGGGATCAGGCTTGCCTGAGCTGCTGAGATGATAAAAAGCAGGCTATTCCACAACCTGATGTGCTGTTTGCCGTTTATTAATAGTTTCTGCAACAAGATTGAAGAATTCATGGTTGGATGTATTGTGCTCAAATAGTAAACTGCAAAGTTAAGGACACAATTGCTTTTTATGTCAGTTAGTGGAAATAAGCAAGAATGTCTGAGCAGCTGAGTTCTAAGCTACTTTCCCCAACAGCTGCTGCTTATTGTTTTTACAAAAGCGAACTTTAGGATTTCCGAGTGTGGCCCGTAGGACAGCAGCATCGGCACCATCAGATATACTGACTCAGCATCTGCAGTTTAACGAGATCCTTCGTGGTTTGTATGCACAGTTAAGTGGGTGCTTCTCAAAGTCCATTTAGCGTATAAATCACATGCTTACTATGCACGAGGCCCTGAGAAGTCTTAGCCCTCAGTCCCAGCAATACAGTAAACTGGCAATAAAGAGGCACAACAAACAGGTGTTCAGCTCTGGGGAGAACGGCTCGGAGCAAGCTCTTATCAGAGCTGGACAGTAACAGCATCTTGTTCACTTGTTTTCTACCTGGGTTTCAGGGCCCATTGTGTCTGGTGCAAGGACACCATCCTTTAGTTCTCCATCCCTTGTCTTTTTCCTGCTTTGTCCCTCCCTCCCCTATACCTCTGGTTCACATTACCATTAATTATTGCCTATGGTCTTACTTTCTCTAATAACATGAAATGCCATCTTACCCACTGGACCATAAGCACTTTAGTTTTCCTCTCATTTTCTAAGAGCACTAGCAATGCCATGGCAACATCTAATCCCTAACCTCCAGGTGGAGTGGTTGAGGTAATCAGAGCAGGTGTTCTTGAGACAGAAAACAAAAGATTTGCTTGACAAAGGGAGAAATGAAAGAGCAGTGTCCTTGGCCAGTGCTTGGAAAACTCTCATCTGCATACAAGTCATCCCAGGATCTGCAGATTCTGCTAAGGAGGTCAGAATGGGGCCAGAGATTCTATAGTTCTTACAAGATATCAGGTAATGCTCATGCTATCAGATCAAGGACTACCCTTTCTTTGAGTAGCTAATTCTAGGCAACACAAGGACAATTATATTCACTGTTATATCAAGACGACATGTGCCTGGCTCCAGAAAAGATGTTAATTTATTAGTAAACAAATATTTATTGAATTAAACACTGACATACCATGATTATTGTGAATTCTCATAATAATCCTGCAAGATATGTTAGTTTTGGCTGTACAATTGGGGCTAATACTACAGGCACTGGGGCACAGAGAGGCTGAGTTACTTGCTCAGCATCACACAATTAATGTGGCAAGTTATTGTTTACCAAATATTCTACATGCTCCTCTACATTTCCCGATCTTCCTTGCAGTTGGTTGAAACTGTTGAGCTAATTCCTAATTCTGGCCAATGAACTGTTGGGAACATGGCATGTGTCATCTGCTGGCTGAGGCATTAAAGTGCTAGTGTCACTCTTTCTCTGTTTTGTATTCTGCCATCTGAAACGTGTGTGCCCCTAAGGTGAGGTTAGCAAGAGTTCTGTCTAACCTGCAGTGGCCTTCACATATGGATTTATAAATTTCAGTTTTGTTGTCAGATTATCCTGATTAGTATGGGCTCAGTGTTGACATCAGACAGCTCCTTGTATACTGAGCTTTTTATCTGGGACCCCAGGATCCCTAAATGTGAGCACACTCCAGGTACAGTCTAGCTCAGGCATGCCTCAGCACTGTCAACAGGCTCAGCCCAGATAATGCCAGGCACTGTGGCTGTGAAAAGAGAATGGCCAGTGCCCTGAGAACCGTCTGAAGACTTGAAAAAACTAACAATAGCAGCAGTAGTGACTGTTCTCTACAACTTAGTCAAGGTTCATTCTATGACAAGCGCCATTTGCTTTCTAGCTCTGTCTTTTATATAAAGGCATGTTTTTAAGCATGGTCAGGATAAGGAAACTATGGTTTTAGAGGTTTTATGAGCTTTAGTCATGAATTGAATAAAACTTTTAAAAGAATATTATTAAAGCACACCTACTCAAACACTTAACTTTTATTGACTCATTTAATGGATGGGGGATGTAGTTTATGCACACAATGGCTGCTATGGTCTGAATGTTTGTGTCCTCTCTCTCTATATATATATACACACATACATATAAACCTAATCCCCAAATGTGATTATATTAAGAGGCAGCGCCTCTGAGAGGTAAGTCGAGAGGGCAGAGCCCTCATGAAAGGGATTAGTGTCCTTATAAAAGAGGCCAGAGACGGGTCCCTTATCCCCTTCTGCCATGTGAGGACTCAGTGAGAAGGTGCCTTCTATGAACCACGAAGCTGGACCTTACCAGACAATGAATCTGCTGGCACCTTGATCTTGGTGTTCCCAGCCTCCAGACTGTGAGAAATAAACTTGTTATTTATGAACTACCCAGTCTGTGGTGTTCTGTTATAGCAGCTGAAGCAGGCTAAGGCCATGGCATATAGATTTGTGTGTCCCACCAAATAATAAAAGGTGCATTATCTAACTTGCATTTATATGTCAAAAACATGACTGTTGTTTGCATTTTTCTAGAGCTACCAAAAAACCAGAAGAGTAGCAAAATTGACTTAAGAATAGAAAATCTGAAAAAAATGTATAATCAGTATAGAAATCAAATCAGTATTTGAGACTTTTCCACTCCACCCTCTTCCTGACCCCAGTCCTATCTTTCCTTCTCTGCTAAAGACATCCCTCCAAGGTGTTGCTATTGGTGAGATGCATACCACTTCAAGGATCAACTGATCTCTACTCTGAAACATCTGCACCAAATAGAGAAAGACAGAAAGCAATCAAACTCACTCTGTGAGAATAGTATAATCCCGAAAATAAAACAGTATAAGGACAGTTTTAAAAGAGGAAATAACAGACCAGTATCACTTATGTAAAATTTTCTAATGTTAGATGTGTGAACTCAGCAGTACCATATACGCATATAAAAAGATCATGACGAAGTAGGGTTTATCATAGGAATATAAAAAGAATTAAACACGAGAAGGAATCTATTCAAATAACACACTACATTAGGATTTAAAAAGAAAATAAAGTCAAATAAGTTATATAAACTTAATAGATGCAGTTAACGAAAAATTTTAAGACTAGCTGCAGTGGCACATGTCTGTGATTCCAGCACTTTGAGAGGCTGAGGTGGGAGGATCGCTTGAGGCCTAGAGTTCAACGCCAGCCTGGGCAACATAGTGAAACAAAAACTTTTTAAAAAAATGTGACTATAATTGGCTCACACTATATTTCTATTGGATTGTGTTGCCCTACACTAAGTCTAAAGTCCTTAGCATGGCATCTCATCCCAAATATGGATGTCAGAACCTTAAGAAGGGAACTCATTCCAAGTGTGGCTGTGGCAGGAAAGAATTCTGCATATTGCAAAACAAAGGACTTTACAGGTATGAGGGGTAATATTGTGCTCTTGTCAAAACACTGTCCTGGACATTACTTCATTCATCCTCTTGTAAACCTGGTGAATTAGGTGTTATAACTCTTCCTGAACTTTAGTTTTCTTAATGTTTCCTATAACATAGTGTGGATCAATGATGGCGACTTCCTAGCTGTATGCCTTTGAAGTCAATTTCTGCCCATGTTCCCTATTCTATTGGTCGCACTATAGCCACCCCTGGTAGTCCATGCCTAAAGCAGATCCTGTTCAGGCTCCTACTGCCTTATTTATCTCTGCTTTCCTACAGAAAGAGAGAAAGCCACCCAACTCACTCTATGAGAATAGTGTAATCTTGAAGAGAAATTAGTCTGTCAAAGGTGACAGGATTGAATCCTACAGGATTCAAGGATAATGACTCACTTCAACTCAGATATAAACTGATCAAACTGCTGAACTTAAGCAACTCACATCTCTTTCCCACAGGATCTGCCTGTATTCATTTCAAGTTCTATTCTCTTCCTTTTCAACCTGTTGGGCCCTGGGAATGAAATGAGGAAATTAAGTGTACCCTTTAAATATCTTCATACACCTTCCTCCCAAATACATGTGAAATCAGGTGCAAAAGATCAACTGTACTTGGAGAGATGACATCAACAACGCAGATTCTCTCACACTTCCACTCAGGGGCTCATCACTGCTTGGAGACTTTCCACCCAAGCCCTGCTCCTACCTGAGAGACTAGACATGGAAGTGCCCACATACATTCTCTGCAGAGGCCAATGCTGTCCAAACCAGCACTTTTGTGAATTTAAGCCAAAGCAAAACAAAAAAGTAATCTGGTCTCTTACCAGGGTCTGCATGATTAACTAGCAGTTAATCTAATTCAGAATACACCTTGGAAGAATTCAGAACACATTACATAGAACGATGCCTTTACTTAAGGTGATTCACAAATGTATCATACAAGATGGGCTGTGCAATGAGTAGCCACCTTACTTAACATTTGAAATGAAAGAGCAGAGAAAATTTTACAGTTGCTTTATTTAACAAAATTTACGCCAACTTCTATATCGATATACAAATGTGTTTCAAAATCAGAGCAGCAGACACACAAACTGTTAACACAAGAATTACAATAATGCTTAACACACGGTACACAAAGTTTTGTTTTCTGCTCATATAGACATTTATGGGTTTAAAAATTATTCCAAAGGCCAAGCAGCATTACATGTTCATTTTCTGGGATGGCTTAAATATGTCCTAAAGAAAAAGGGATAGAACTTTTGAAACTTAATGTATTCAATTTAGTTCAACAAATAGCACTTGGCCCATTAATAGGGGCTTATAAAATGTTTTGGACTGGTGATAAAAATTTGATTAACATATAATCTATCAGAGTATGCTCTGAGTCAGTGGTTCTTTTTAAATGTTTTAGTCTATTTGTCCATATCATAAATATAAAAAGCTGATTTCTAATCTCCCCAAAAAAAGTCTACTTTAAAAAAGAGGTTTAAAATAATTTTATTAGTAGTACTAACAAAACATAGTGACCAGAGGTCTTTCAAGATCAAGGTAAAAGCACACAAATACTCAACACAGCTCTGCCCCTACCCCCTCCAATTTTGTTAGAAATGTCTTTATTTCACAACATATACCTACATGTTAAGCTATTGTCTAAAGCTCTTTATTCAGGGAAGACAGCTACTTTTTGCTTTTCCATTTAATGACTTCCAGGGACAATTTTAATTCCTTAAAAGGTATGATAGTTCTGAAAATCCCCCCAAATTTTGCTACATATTCTACTCACAAAATTAACCTCCAAAGTATGTAAGTTGTGTTTTAGAATAATACATGAAAAATAGCTGATGCGCAAAGTGTAAATATATTGACACTTAACACTGACCTGATTCCTGGCCAAGTCTCAGTCTAGCTTTTCAGGAAAAAGCTACTAAGTGGTGAGGTATAGAAGGAGAAAAACTTATTACAAAAATCAAAAAAGATACATCACAGCTTTTTCTTCTTCTCTCCTCTTCTCCATGTCTTGGGAGCTTTCTTTCATGCTGGAAGAGTACAAATCTGTAACATGGGTAAAACTTCAGAATGCTTCTTTATGTAGTGAAATGGCATCCAAGATCCATTTCCCAAAAAGCACCAAATAAAAATGCACAAGGACTAAATGCTGTAATAAAATGATACACAGGGGTTTTTATTCCTGTTTGTTCACATGAAGCAGACCCCATCACTTACTGTGCTTTCATTTTCTAAGAATGAATTCAGACCATTATAAAAATGTGCTTCCAAAATAAATTGTTTCTAGAATATAAAAACGTTTTAAATTTTTCTAGCCCACATATTGTTATAAAATAGGAAGCCAGAAAATTAGCTACTGCAATTTTCATATGGTAAAAAATATTTATGTGTACACATACATATATACACATATATAAAATGCAAGTTTTAAATTTCAATAAAAATTAACCAACTTAATGATCATGTATTGAATTATACATAAGAAATGTTGATTATCTGTAATGAGAACTACAACGGGGTTACAATTCCATTTATTGGAAGATAATCTAAGACCTTTCTATGTGAAAAAAAAATCAGGAAGTTTCCAGCTGCCTACTCAATAAGAGAAATCACTATGTCTTTTTTTCAGATGTAACAGCCCCCCAGTTTCATTCATTGTACCTCGTAAGTCCCCTAAGGCAGGAACAGTCCCTGAAGGGAGGCAAAGGAGAATTGGGCTGTGCTGTGCTATTTGTGTTCTGCATGAAGGCTGGTGCCAGGATACTTGGGCAAGTGAGGACTAAAATCCACTCTTGAGCTGCATTTGCCAAGCCATGTATCTGCCCAAAAAGCTGTGCCCGTGTGTGTCTGGGGACTTTTTTCTAAAGTACACAAAGGTGCTGTGCACATCAGGACAGTCCTGAGATCTCTTGGCAGAGAGGGGTACTAGAAGGAGTATTCTCAAGAGCTGCTTCCCAGGAAGGCAGGCTAAGTGGCAGGGAAAGCATGACTGTGGTTAAGAGAAATTAGAAGCAGATTCCTACTATCAATGAAAACCAGGGATTCCTGTTCCTATAATTTTAGGAAAGACAGTGGGAGGTTCCCATTTTGTTGATGCTGCCAGTTTCTAGTAGTTTCATGAGGGAAAATAGTAAGGAGCTTCAACACCACAGAAGGGAAGAGATTGAACTGAGCAAGGAAGCTGTCCTAGTGCATAAGACATCCTGTTGAGAAAAAAGTGGCAAAAGGAGCTAGGACCTGCCCTGAGGAGCAGTGTCTGTGACTCACAGTGATGGGAACAGTAGGCAGCGTCTGTCCAGTCTCTGGATGAGTCTCGAATGAAAACTACAAGTCACATGAAACTCCTTTCACAACTTTCATTACAAGCTCACCTTGAATTGTCTTCCCCAGTTTATCTATGCTGTAAGATGCCTGTTTCCTCACATTTTAATTGGCCATTTGATTTATGTTTGTGGGAGAGCTAAGGACAAAGACTTAATTTTAGATATTTTTTTACTATAACCATCTCCCCCCCCCAAAGGCACATTCTCTACCCAATTGTCATAAATCAAGGTATTTTAAAGCAAAGTAAAAGGTAAATATTTGAAAATACTACCTTTCTTCTCCTAACACGTGTTGTTGAAGAAGTTCAGGCAAGTTCTTGGAAATATTCTTTAAAACGGCCAAGAACAGCAAAACTCTCTGTGCTATGTGGAACACTTATGAGTATTATAGAGTGGGAGACAGATTAAAAAGAATGGCCATTTTTCTATAACCAAATTTAAAATAGTTAATAAAGTAAAAAATATACTTTCCATTCCGTATCAAATATCCAAGAGACAAGTTAAAGCAAGAACAAAGTGGATGTGCATGCCAAAACATAGGTTTAATCCTTCAGTAGCATTTATATAAAGAGTATGTGTGAAACATTCTCAATTTGCCCCTCTGGATGGATGACAAGAAATTTTTATCTACTCAGAGAAAGGGGTGCTAAACAAAGAGAGATCTCAGATGCCACTGAAAATTTGTTGAAAGTTTCACTTCCTCTCTCCAGATAAATGCATATACATCAATTTGTGTGTACAATTTCAGGAACATCATATACATTCAAGGTCCAGTCACATATTTCAGGTTCAGACCACTGGCTCTCAATATTCTTGCAGGGGATTTGAAGAACTAGTGATGCTCTCATTTCTACAGTCTGTATTTCTCCTATTGAATCTGGGGGAGGCAGGGAGCACAGGGGCAGCCCAAACCAGAATAAACTAAAAGAAAAATAACTTGCTTCAAAGAACAATTTTTTACTTATTTGCCCTTGGAAGAAAGCACATCCCAGTCTCTAGTTGCTTCTATTAAATGCCGCTGACCATGACTCATCCATTCTTCCTGGTCTTCATATAGCCTCCCACAAAACCAGCACTTAAATATACACTGTGATGAATCATCAGGCAAAGAATCTACCACTTGGTAGTTGTTTTTATGAACTTTTTTAAGCTTCATTTTCAACATCATTTGCCTTTTAATTTGGTTGGCTTCCTCCAAATTCTGGTACGTGAGCCGGACATGGTGCCGTCTGATGCCAAGCTGACACCTAGTCCTCTCTGATAAAACAACTTTGAGGACATTGCCTTTATATTTATTTATTACCTTCATCACATTGGTCACTTCTGGTGAGTCAACGTCAGGATGGTTTAACACAATGACTGGCTGGTTCCGACGGGGGCATTTAATCAATTGATCTGGCTTAGCTGCTATTAGTCGAAGTTGTCTTGCAACCTGAAAAATTGAAGGATCCTTGAGACAGCGGTTCGAGTCAGCCTGAATCTTGTTTTTCTTCTTGGATAAGTTTACTTGTTTGGTTTTATTTCTAGCTATAGAAAGATTTCTGGAAAGTAGTTTCCCTTGCCTCCCCAATTCACTGCTTCCTGGCTGTCCATACAGCAGGCCAGTTTTTTTAGGGGTGATGCTATAGATAGCACTGTCTTTTCTTGGTTTAAGCCGAAAAGATGTCTCAAGATTTTGGGACATGTCTATTGGCCCACTTTCACTTGTCAAAGGCTGTATGACTGAGTCGGTCTGTTTCACAGAGCAGAATGGAAGCGGTTTTATTAACTGTGTTTTATTGCAAGGTATGTTGACAGGCGCTTCACATGTAGCCTCTATGATGTGGGCATCCTCAGAGGAATTGAGAACCCTCAACACAGCTCCTTTGGGGATCAACACTGGAGTGGCAACATGAGGCTTTCTGGTCACTCTGCTTTCAGTTTTTCCATCAATGCCATCTACAAACTGTGGATACATTTGCTGATGAGTAAAGTGTCCATTACTGGTAATACCACCATCATTCTGAGGCTTCTGGAGAATACCCATGGAATGACCAGGGCCAGTGAATGACACATTAATTTCTTGAATACCTTCAGGAGTAGCTTTTGAAGTTACCTTTGATGCCTGTCCTACAGAACGACGACGATGTGCACTGTTTGCACCCAGAGATGAAGGCTTGCCACAGGATTCAATTAACTGAGCTATCTTTCTGCGCAAGAGTTCAATTGACTTTATTTTAGATGTTGAACTATTCCATTTAACACCCTCAGGGACATTTTCAGATCCAGAACTTAGAGAAAATACTGATGAGATGACAGGGCCATCAAAAGCGTCATTAGTCTTTTCGGAATTCTTTAATTCCAAAGGCTTATCCACAGATTGTTGAGATCTAATTCTATCTTCTCCAGTCATATTTAGGTGTAAATACTCACTTTTATGTTGAGAGGACATCTGGCCTATATTTGAAACTGCCTTGTGTTCCTCTGTCTGGTTATTTTCCAGCTTCCCATTAGAGGAAACCATTTTTACAGGAAAACTGATGTTACTTCTAGATTCCAAGTCATTTTCACTTATAGGCAATAAGCCCTTTTCTCCAGAGAAGGAAATGGTTGCAGGTGATGCAGCAAGAGGGAGTAACTGCTGTGAGTCACTGGGTAAACTTCTTCCATCCTCAGCAAAAGAAACAGCAGCTTTATATGGAAAAGGGTTTGATGCACCTCCAAGACCACATAAAACACTGTTTTTTAATACAGATGCTGGTGAACGACCTTTTAAGGCAATGGAAGGAAGAGAAGTTCTATGTGGATATAAATTATTTTTTTTCTGTAAATCCTCAACTCTTTCAGAATTGAGAAAGGATTCTACATGTTTGTGAACATTAGAGTCCGACATGAAAAAATCATAAGACCTTACCCATTTCACATTTTTAAATTGTTTCTGAACTGAAGATTGAAGATTATCAATGCCTACAAGTTTTCCAACATTCCCTTCAATTGTTATTGACTTTGTTTTTTCTGCAGAAACTAATTTTTCTTGTTCAATTGAACCCTTCTCTTTAGTCATACGCTCAAAATTACCTCCATCACCCCTGCTGGCTTCATGGGAATTATTTTCTTCCAGCGGAAACAGTTTCAGAACCACCTGCTGTGTACCATTGACAACCTTCACATCTATCAACTGAGCTAAACAGTTTGCAGGGACAACTAGTTCTGCTGGTGCCACAACTGTTAATGGCATACCAGGCTGAACTGGTTCTTTTGCAGGAGATAACACTTCTACTTCAACATTTTTGTTCTCAAACAGGTTGACTTCATTTTGCTCAGACAGGGCCATTTTATTTGGGATGCACACTACATCTTTTTGGTATTCCTTTGGTTCAGGTAACAACATGATATTGTGCATTTTGTCTTTATTTGCATGGAGAGAGAACCTTGAAAGTTGATCTGATAACTTATTTTGAAATGCAGTCTTTGGATTAGAAACTTTCAAAAGCTCTGTGTTTTGTTTTGAAGTGCTGGCTCTTTTCGGCTCCAGCTTGGCAGTAGTTTTAGGTGGCCGTTTTGCACCAGCCCTCTCATGGACTCTCTTCCTGTGTTTGACAATGTAATCATTTCTAATAGCACCATAGTCACAATACTCACATCGATAAGGGAATATGCCTGTGTGTTTCACCAAATGCCTCTGAAACTCTCCTTTTGTATATGAAATGTAGCTGCAGTGAGAACAAATAAATTTAATCTCTTCATGTTGAAGTGTGTGCTTTTTGTACTGCAGAGGATCCTTTGTGGAAAATCGACATTTATCACAATAATATTTGCCTGGCTTAAAGTTCCTTACCTTAAATTTATTATTGACAGAACTTGAAACGGTTTCAGTTTTATTTCCGACATGAGTAGCACTAGGATTATTGTTCACAAAATGGAAATTGGGAGGGGCCACACCGAGTTTGCATTTGAAGCAGACATATATGTCTTCCTTCTGGCTTTGCCCCATACCCATACCCTTTTTCAAATCTTGAAGCGGGATTTTGTGAACACTTTTGCACTTTACACATGTAGCAATGGTCATCATGGCAGCCTCTGCCTCTGAGCCTTGATACAAAAGAGTTTGCACTTCCTGTCTATCTGGTCGAGGTGCTCCATTAGCATCAGGTTGTTTGGGTGACATGGTCAAGGAATTATGTCCACCATTCACTTGTGTAGTATATAACTGCTGTCCAATATCCTTCATCTTCTTTATCTGCATTTCTAAAAATAGCTGACTGAAATTCAGAAGATTTCACAAGATAAAATCCTTAGGAGGCATCTTTCAATACAGTTTGTGATTGGTAGAGGAGCAGCTAGTTCCTGGGTACACACTTATTCTTTTTTTATATACTGCCACAGTAGGTACAGGATCACAAAATATGATTGCTTTCAATTTTCTGATATTTCCGGCAACACTAAAGGAAACAAAACCATAAAGCATGATTAAAACAAGAATTTAAGGCTTAGTTGAGCTATTACCCCCTATTTTAATGGCCTTGAAAATTTTATGAGAACTCTCAACATATGAACTTGGATACCTATGTTATAGTAACACATAACACAACAGAGTTGGCAAATAAGCCTAAATTAAAAACATTTTCACACTCAGTACCCTAAAAATCATCACTTTAAGACCAATCATGAACAAACACATACCAGAAACAAGGACACGATAGCAACCATTCAGAATAGCCTTTGATCAGTGAAAGTTAAATTTTTAAGTGTCAGTGACCACATCCTAACAATTTCAGAGATATAATTTCCTATTAACTTCATAAAAATCTTGTACAGAAAACTGTCAGTTCAGTTTTTGAACACCTTAGTTATCAAGTTGTAGAGCTAGGGCTTCAGCCCAGTTGTTCACATTTATTTCTACACTACACTTATTATCAGCTTGGGTACCAATTCTTTCACTCACACACTAGACTTGCTCTCACAAGAGCTAAGAAGCCAAAAATACTGACATATTAGGAAGACAAATAATTATTCCTTTAACATCTTATTGAGCATCTATCACGTGCCAGGCATTATTCTAAGTGCTGCAGGGCAGGGAACAAAAGTACAGATTACATATTTATCAAATGGTGGTAAGATAATTGGAAGAAAATACCATAAAACAAGGCAAGAGGGAGAGGGGATGTCTCTGTGATGAGGCTGGAGGGCTGGGTATGGAGGAGAGGACAGTCACACACACTACCAGGGTGTGTGTGTGTGTGTGTATGTATGTATTTGAGAGAGAGAGAGAGAGAGAGAAACTAACTTACTCGCCTGGCACAATTTGCTTCCAGATTGTTTCAACACCTTATATATTAACTAAAAGAAATTCTCAAATAAATCACGGGACAAGATTCCTCTATTTGAAGAATCATCCAAACCAGGACTCTACTGGCACATTTTCATTATTCAGCCCCTTTTCCAGTCTCTAAGAATTCTTTTAAAAAATCACAGAATGCAGTTTTGCCATTTTCTAAGTCCTTCTAAAAATTAAAGGGTGTCATTCCTTCTAAAACTGAAAACTTGGAAGTCTAAGATAGACTGGACAGTAAGATCACGTGCATCAGCAAGAAGTGGAGTGTAGTGACAAAGCAAAGTCCCTGCAGAATTAACCAAGCCAGGAAATGCCTCACTTCAAGTTGCCATTTCAGTGGAGATCTGGGAGCAGCCAGAGAGTGAGAGCTGTCGCTGTCTGGGAAAGGTGTGTTTCAAGCAGAGAAAAGGCAAAGGTCTGGGGAAGTGGGTGCATATGGGGGATGCAAGAAGGCTCCAAGTCTGGGGGAAACAAGCAAAGGAGTGGGGGGGGGGCGGTGGCAGCAGATACAGTCAGGGAAGATCTACAACACAATATCCTCAGGACATGGTAGAAGGGGCAGCTGATTTATATTCCAACAACAGCCTCTAGCTGCTGTGAGGACTAGAGTCTGTGAGGGGCAAATGATGGCAGCAGGGAGACCACAAATAGCTTGGACTGGGGCAGAAGAGGTGACAAACATTTTCTAGAGCAAGTAAGTTCTCTAATACGCACTCATGCATGTAACACAGTGATTAGTTTTTAAACAATCTTTAAAGATAATTTTTTAAAGAACATAAACAACTAGGAGCCAAACAAAAACAATTCTAGTTTGGGATCTGCTAAAAGCCTTTCTACCATGACCTTTAAAAGGCCACTTAAATCTCCTGAGCCTTTATTTTTCCATCTGGCAATTAGAACTAGCATCACTTACCCAACCTCTCCCAGAGCTGCCATGATTAGGGTAAGGAGACACTTGTGAGAATCCCAAGTGCTTCTCTGAATGTACGAAGCGCACAGAGGCACTCAGTCAGTGTTTGTCAGAAACACGAAAGAGAACTGGCAGCTGCCTTCTGGCACAAGAGCCACATAAAGTGAGTGTGAAAGGCTAACTTGGGGAGCAGAAAGGCTTCTCCATGGTGTCTGGAGAAACAACAGGCACATATTCTGATCTGGCCTAAAACATGCCTTTCAAAAGCGGCTTTGGAAAACATCAAAAGAACACATCACATCTGATGACAAGCTGCAGTATTGTCTTTTCCTATTTTGCTTTTGGGAAAATAGTTACCTTCTTTCAAAGGCATGCAACCCAGCCATGCCACATCTAGGGCCAGTCAGTCTTGCCCTACCATAAGTGTGCATATAATACTTAGACATCAAGCAGATGGAGGCCTGTGGAGTCGCAAGGGGCTGTCTATTCCCTCAATGTTCAAACACATACCCAGGCAAGGGACAGTGATTTTGGATAGGACACGCGAATGCCTTAAACTGGCAAACACATAAACATGGGAAAAGACAAGAGCTTTCACATTCATTCCACTGTACTAGTGCTATAGACAACAGAACTTTCAGAGGAGTCACTTGGAAAAGCTGACACACATTTTAGTTTCCCAATTTGTAAAGAGATTACTGAAGGGAGATAGAAGTGATACTCAGAACTTCTGCTGCTCATCAAGTGACCCCAAGCAGGGCACCCATCTGCATCTGCTTTCTAAGCCCAGCGTGACATTGCTGATCTTGAAATCACAGACTTTATCATCTAAGAATGCTACTATCATCAACATGGTCATGTAGGCATTTTTATCCAGGTAAAACAAAGGCCATAGCAGCAACCAGAGTCTAAGAAAACAACAGGCTCAAAGAACATAAGGCTTACGTTAGGTAATAAGGGGGAACTGGTCCAATGGTCCTGAATCTGGAGGAGCCTCAGAATCACAGCTAAAATGGACACTCCTGGGCCTCATCCCAAAGCTAGTCAATCTCAGAAGGGAGGATTAGAGAAGAGACTATTGTGGTTTGTAAAAGCACCCCAGGCTGATGAAAAGCCAGCATTCAAAATCACTGGCTGAAGCTTCCAGCAACATTTAAATCCTTAAACATCTTTACCAATTGACCATGCTGTTGATGTCTAATGTTGCCATAAGCAGAAAATTCTTTTCTTCTACAGGCAACTAATTCTATTTCCACATAGTTCTCATTATAACCAATCTACCCATAAATGAAACCAAAATCAGCTTCCCTATAACTTACTTTCTTCTATCTTGACTCTGGAGCTACAAAAAACAACTTAATCCCTCTTGATAGATCAGTTACTAATCTGCACATCTCTTCTCTCATCCAGTCTTTAGTTTTCAATTCTGTTCAAAAGATTTGCATACCAGTTAATATGTATGCCATGCTCTGATCTACCAGCCTCATAACTCTACTGGGGTGTGTATGTATTTGAGAGAGAGAGAGAGAAACTAACTTACTTGCCTGGTACAACTTGCTTCCAGATTGTTTCAACACTTTATATATTAACTATAAGAAATTCTCAAATAAATCATGGGACAAGATTCCTCTATTTGAAGAATCATCCAAACCAGGACTCTATTGGCACATTTTCATTTTTCAGCCCCTTTCCCAGTCTCTAAGAATTCTTTTAAAAAAAATCACAGAATGCAGTTTTGCCACTTTCTAAGTCCTTTTAAAAACTGAAGGGTGTCATTCCTTCTAAAACTGAAGACTTGGAAGTCTAAGATAGACTGGAAAGTAAGATCATGTCCATTAGCAAGAAGTGGAGAGTGCAGTGACAAAGCAAAGTCCCTGGAGAATTAACCAAGCCAGCCAGAGTGCCTGAGGAAGGCAGAGTCCTTTTGGAAGAGCCTCTGCAAAACTTTCTCAGCAGTTATTCTGAATTAAGAATCCAGGAACAAGTGCCCATATGAAACATAAGGCTGTGATTAGCAAATGCAGTTTATGTGGAAGGCAGGATATCTAGGCCATGATTGAATTATGTCACTTGGGTTAGAAAATATCTTCTTGGCTTCTTAGCTATTCTCAAAATAATGCAATGTGACTACATTGCCACTTCCCTCAGTCCAGGTTAAAAAAAATGTGAGGTTCCTTCAAAACAAGCAGGTGATGTTCTCTTTGGCCTTTGCAACCTGTATGGCTACTAACAGGGGAAAGATATCTCAGATGTAATGCTCCCGGACAAAGATAACAGATGCAGCAGCATGGAAGAATGAAGATGACGTTGATGTTGGTATTTACACGTGGACACTCGCTCCTGAGGGTGCAGAAGGCACATTTGGGTAATGGGCTCCCAAACCACTATTCCTTCGACACAACTTCCTCCATTTGGTTCACATCCAAGTACAACTACCTATGAAGCTAAGACCTCTTGGCAAGTCACTGCCCAGTGATGACCAAAGATTACAAGACACTGTAGATAAAAGTCTGGGCACAGGTGCAACTGATGCTGTGAGGGCACTCAATAAATCACCATCAACATCAGGGCCAGTGCTCACCTGCCTTCCCAACTCGCAATGCTAGTATTACAAAAGCTTCTGCATTTTTGACCTCCTTGGACTAGAAACATAAATTCTTTCAGATAATTTAGGAGGGCTCTCAAAAACACAGAAAATATTATTATTAACTTTATGGCACAATAAATGTCAATTTAATATTAATTTGTCTGTTTTCCAAAAATTATTTAATAGCATAGAGTTTTTTAATGTAGAATTATCTACAGCAGGTGTCCTCAAACTACGGCCCGTGGGCCACATGCAGGTGTTTTTGCCTGTTTGTTTTTTTACTTCAAAAAAAGATATGTGCAGTGTGCATAGGAATTTGTTCATAGTTTTTTTAAAACTATAGTCCAGCCCTCCAACAGTCTGAGGGACAGTGAACTGGTACCCTGTTTAAAAAATTTGAGGACCCTTGATCTACAGCATTAGCCACAGATGACTGCCATGCACAAAGGGAAGTGGCACACAAGTATGCTGTAGATGTGTTCTCTAGACTGAGCCTTGTTCTTGCCTTTTTTTCAAAAGAAAGGCCAGGATAAAAGCCTAACTACATTCACTGTTGGTGGGTTTTCTTTTTAATTTTGAGCTTATTGCCCTGTTTTCTTAAAGACTTATTATGGGGGCATACGGGAAAAAAATATTGAGTTTGGAAGAAACCAGGTCAGTCACATTGAAGGCTATTAAAAACATGAAAGATTGTTTAAGTGCCTATTAAAAAGGAAACATTTGATTTCTAAATACTGGAAATATCCAATGTCAGTAAAATTAGAAGAGAAATAGTGGGAAAATAATGTTTAGAGACTCTGGAATCAGATTATAAGGTTGAAAATCCTAGTGATATCGCTTTCTAGGTATCTGATCTGGGGACCAAACTGATTCTCACCTGTAAAATAAGACAGTAACAGGGCTTACCCCAGGTATCATGAGGATTCAATGGCATAATATAAGAGTGCTTTTAGATAAGTAACTGACATATCTGTTAAAAATATTATTTCCCATTTGTTAATGAAGAAATTATACCAATCACATAGTCAGAGGGGCTAAAAGACAGGCTTCACAGCTGCCTGACTCTGGAATCTGCTCTTTCCACAACATATACTACATTTCATTTTATAATTTTAATCACATTTGTTTGGCTGTATTGCTTAAAGGATAATTCACCACTGGGGCAAAATCACCTATTCAGTTTCTACAGCAAAAAGGCTAACAGCCGCTCATAATCACCATAGGGAAGACACTCCAAATATTAGAGTACTCACTGTGATTTTAGTTTATGTATAAGCTAGTTACTAAACTACCTTTTCCTCACCCACTTCTCTCAAAGCTCAGCCAAATTGTGAAATGAGGTTGTAGCAAATGAATGCATTTCCATGCCAGATGTTAATATGAAAAAAAAAAAAAAGTGGCTGGCTAATTATATCACATGCATGCTACATGGATCATCACATACATTTTTGTTCACAAGAGATGCCTAGCAAACCCAGTATTAGTTGACTGATTGCATCCTTTTTGGATGGAGAAGCAACTTAGGCAGCTCTTTTCAGGAATTCTGAACTAGAAATCCTCCTTTGAATGTGGCTTCTACCACACTTGTTGAGGCAAGGATATAGCTGCTGCACCCATGAAGAGCAAAGGGAATGGTGCTGGAAGGTTTGCAGTTCAAACTCTGATCTTGTTCTTTATCTGCAGGGTCCTTAGACAAGTGATTTCTCTCTGTGCATTGAGAGGCAAGGAAACAGGCTTTGCTATCATGAAACTTAAAGGGTGATGAGGTGAAGCAACCTAAATGTATGCAAAGCACTCAGCCTAATAGCAAGGCTGATGACAAATTATACCTACCTTCCTTCTGTCTCTTTAGCCATAGCAAAGGCTTGTCTGACTAACTTTGCCAAGTAACCAAAAATTTAAAACAATTCTATCTTGAAATGTCCAGTGGCACATAGACAAGTAATACTTTAGCAGGGAAAAATTTTAACATTATACATGTAAACTGCCAATATTTCCCTAACGGGTGATATTTATGAAAAAACTGTTGCCTCAGCAAGAGCTTTTTCAGACCATTATAATGACTCAGAATTTGAACTGAAAGGGTAAACAGGTCTAAACAGAGAAAAACTTCAATTAAGCATTACCATCTTTATGGCAAACTACCTTGCACTTAGAAATGAATACAATGCAAACTGATTGCTTTTGAGGACAAAAGTACTTTTGAATGTTGCTGACAAACACACCACCCTTGGGATCTTAGATTTCCTTCTGAAAACAAGTGTACTGCTTGGGCAACAAAATGGGGCAAGAAGCCTTCAGGAGACAGCCCTTGCCTGATTATTTTGCTTTATGGGTGAAAGCAGCTCAGTGTAACAGAGCGAAAAGACTAATGACTTTGGGATATCAAAAACAAGGTTCAAAATCTAGGTCTATGGCTTACTAGCCTTGTAATTTTGGACTTGTTAACCTATCTGAGTCTGAATTTCCTCACTTGTAAAATGAGAACAATACTGCCTAATTTACAGAGCTGATGTGATGATAAATAAGCAAAAGGTATATGCAGATGGAAGGTAACTTTATATTTGGCAAAGAGTAGATGTTCTGTCAAGAAATAAGTCAACATATTTTTCTGAGATTTCTTCACATATAGGGTGTTCAGTAATGTCCAGAGAAACAAAAAACTGGTAAGCTTATCTAACAAACATGATGAGATAAAGGCCTATAGCAACAGGAGTTCATTAGTGGGGAGGAGGGGAAGGAGTTCTCCCTTACACCTTGTCTATAGATAATTCTTTGGGGATTGACTTGATAACATTGAACACATCAATTGAGTCCACATCAAAAAACAAGGGAAGTTATTTTATAGGCTTTTAACAGTTTAAGAGAAAACCTTTCAAAAGGAAAACTATAAGCTGTGCTAGAGTTTTTAAAGCCTAAAACTTAGTTTCATATGTGAAAAAATGTGAAAGAGTAAATATGCTCATTAGGATTAAAATACATATACACACATATATGTAAAAATATGGTAGTATTACAAATAGCATTACAAAATTCTAAAACAGCCTGTGTCATAAAACACAGGCTGGCTTCAGGTCTCTAAATGTGCTAAAAATGAGGGACACATAATTTTTCCATTTTACTCCTTTTTTTTTTGCCTTAATGAAAACCCAAAATATTGTAGAAGAAATCGATTAAGAATTTAACAAAAGTATAATAAAAAACAGAAGAAATATTCCTTACTAAACCAGTGGTTTTTAACTTGGGGTGCTTTAGGGCAACTCATTTGTCATCTGCCCAGGATATTAAACTTATTTTTTAAAGGAGATGCCTGGGACAGTCGGTTACCCCACTGCACACTGGAATTTCTAGGATCTTTAAAAATGATGCCTGGCTTCCATTTCCCAAAGACTCCGATTAAACTGGGGAGGTGGTGGTGGTGGTGGTAGGGGTTTAAAAGCTTCCCACGTAATTCTAATAGGCAGCCAAGCTGAAAATCACCTGATATTACAGGTGCATGTGGGAACAGCAGCAGGCATAGTATCAACATTCTTGTACAATACTTTATCTACCTAACCTACCTGTGGGTGCTTGGAGGCAGGACAAGGGAACCCTCTCTGTAATGTGCATAATGACAGTTATCTATTCTATAGATTCTCAGAAACTTGAATGTTCGTGGCACAGTGCCTGGCAGTGAGTGAGTGCAATGAGGACCAACTACGACTGTTTTACCCCACACTTGCTATGGGTGGCCATCTTTAAGGCATGTAATAGGAGATGGAGAGAGGTGAGTAGGTAGTTTCAGTGAAGTGGTAAATGCTCTATCAAGGATCTGATCAGAATGCTCTCTCAGTGCTGGCTGCTTGTCAATCCTGGAATATTTTGGCCCAAGTTAGGTGGAAGGGGTGCCTGCACAAGTAGGTTCATATGTTACCTTGATACTTCTCAAAGCCAGCCTTCAATTATCTGCTTCTTCCAAGATAGTAGGTCTGGAGAGGTTATATGGCTTTTCTGAGGTCACACAGATGGTGAACAGCAGTAGCCAGTGTCCAATCTAAATTCTTTGTTTTCTGCTACCCTACTGTGTGAGGCTGTAAACCGACATGACAGTCGGGATCTGTTGCCACTTGATCACTGTTCTTATTTCCTGACTGGAGCCTTGCAGCTGCAGATCTATAACAAAAACATGGCAAGTCCATGGGCTCTTCCTTCCCCTTTAGTCCTCTTCTCAGATGCCAAGTGCTATCGGTTTCACAACTTCAGGCCGTGGTAGGCTTCTCCACTCAGAACTCTGGGTGGCAGCAAGGTGCTGCAGAGAGGCCTGCAACAGAAGCCACACACTTGGTTTTAAGTCCTGGACTGGCACAGCCTTGGTTTTTCAGGATGTATTGAAAATTAAGGGGAATGAGCCCCAGAAATGCTTCTCAAGCAGGGGTATATGGCAAAGTCACCCAGAAGTTTTTATTTAAAAAAAAGAAAAAAGGATTCCTAATCAGATCACTCTTTTCCTGGGATGTGGTTTAAAATTCTTCCCAGGTGATTCTAATGCCTCCCCACCCCCACTTCATGATGAAAATGTCTAGACTGGATGAACTGTAGTTGCTTTCACTCCAAGGATGAATCCTGGAAATTGCAGTTGGCTGGGTTCACATAGAAATTCTAGTAGACAACAGGCAGTTTGAGAAAAATCAAGACTGGGAAAACCCTCTCTCTCTGGAGAACCTTGTTTATTATAATCATTAGCAATGGGCTTGGCCAAGGAAGACATATAACATGTTTATTGGTTGAAAGAGTAAATGAAAGAAATGGAAGCCTTCATAGTGATAATAAGAAAAATATTCTTTGTTCTTCCTGTTGCACAAAAACTGGCCTAGATTCCTTTACTTAAAGGCAAACAGACCTGGAGAGATTGAAGTATGATCTTTTTTTAAATTACCATTTTGCCTTTTTAAAACCTTCTTAAGTTTGGCAAAACACATAAAGGGAGTAATCCCAATAAAGTAATGCTCTCCTTTGTCTTTTTCTGAGTTGCACTTGCAATGGATGTTATCAGCATAACAAAACTGGATACATACAAATGTATTATTTTCCAAGGCTATATTTGATCTAAGATACTGTTTTTGAAAAAAATGCACCCTAGGTTAAAGGTATCAATATCATACAATTTAAAAAAACAAACATTTTATTTGTATTCTACTTAGAGAGTCTATGGTATACAACATTGGTTTCTAAATAGTATTTTCTGCACGCTCGGTTGGTATTTCCTATTGTGAACACACGTTACAGGCTGGGTTGAACTCTGCATATGTGACTCAGAGAAAAATAAAGAGACACATTCCCATTCTCTCTCTCTCTGCTCTTCTACAGGAAAAATAGTCAAGATTCTAGAGACTAAAGTATGTCTTAATTCTTGGTGATTTCAATTCTAAATTTAGGGACAACGTTTTAAGGATTCTAACACAACATTACAGTTTAGCTGAGTAGATTTCTATTTTTAAACAAGATATAGTGCTCAGTATTCCACTTTACTATTTTTTAAAGGTTACGTTGACAAATCGTTCATTATCCCAGTTTTTAAAGTCAGGGTTATTTGAATGGGATACACTAAAAATCCAACTTATATATAAGGACTTAAGTGTTTTTTTTCCTTATTCTCTCCTTGGCTTTCCCTTTCCAGTTAAGAAACTTGCATTCTTTTGAACCCCACATAGTTTATATGACCTTCAACATCCCTAGACCCCAAAGGCAACAAGATAAAAAGGGCAGGTTGGGATGGGGAGGGCCCACAAAGAACGACATCAGCATCTGCAACAATTCAGACCATCACCATTTATCCACCTGTCCCTCCTTAACACTTTCTCCCAACAAAAGACCCCCAAGGTCCTCAATGCATAAGCCCATCCCTGGACACACTCGCACGCTCCCAAGGAAAGACAATGCCAGTCTGGTTTTCAAGTTTATTGTTGGCACGCTCCCACCGATGGCACCCATTATCCAGGGCGAGTCCACACCTAACCTCGCGGGCGCGAGGACGGGAAGGCGCGGGCACACCGAGATTACATCGCTGTCGCCCGGGGACGTCCGGGGGCTTCTTAAAACTGAAGAAAACCAAAGATCGTCAACGCTCAGCTCCGAGGCCCGCAGGAGGCTTTAAAAATGGCCTCCTTACGACACTTCCTGCTCCGGCCGACCGGGAGGAACTCTCAGAGCCCAGGCATCATTTAAAACGCGGGGGGCGGGGAGGAGGCCGGGCTCCGCGGGCGCTCGGTGCCCCCCGCGCGTCCGGCGAGGCCGCGGGGTCGCGGCGGCACAAAGGCGGGCGGGGGGACGCCGGGCCGACTCAGGCCGGGCCCGTGGCCTTGCTCACCCCGCGGCCTGTCGCCCCCACCCCGCCAGCAGGCGCCCACCGCCTGCCGCGCCCCAGCCCCGGACAGAGCCCGCGACCAGCTCCCCCGGGTGCTGCTCGCCACGACGCCGGCCAGCAGCCGGGGCACGCGGGGCCGCGGGCTCACACCCGGCCCGGCCCCGTCAGGCCCCCGCCGCCGCGGCTGAGCGCCTCCCGGCTCCACCCGGCGCTCTGTCCCGGCACGCGGGTCCGGCGCCTTCGCCTTCCCGCTCCACCACTCACCGGCCGGCCTGTCCCCCGTGCAAGGTCCCAGCGAAGGGGCGTCTACACCGCCGGCTGCAGCCCGCCGCCGCCGCCGCCGCCGCGCCCGCTGTAGGTCCCTACCTGGGGGCGGAGCCGGGCCGGCGCCGCGCGTGCGCTCTGCGGCGCGGCTGGGCGGCTACAGCAAGGCCGGCGCCTGAGGTCTCTAAGGCTGCGTCGGCCCCCGCCGGGCTTCGGCGCCACCTAGAGCGAGGAGGAGCTGAGAACCGGCCCAGACCGGCTTCTGGGCGTAGAGCTCTACCCAAGGCGTTCGCGTCGCAGCGAGCAACTTAGACATGCCCGCATGCTCAGGCGCCTCCCAGGCAAAAGCAGCGCCGCTTCTGGCTCAGCGCTCCGCCCCGCTGACCTCCGTGAGCGCCGGCGGGCAGCGGAGGGCGGGCCTGGTGCCTGCCCTCAGGGAGCTTTCAGTGAGGCAGCGCGTGAGTGGAAGCGAGAGAAAAGGAGCTGTGCCTCCAAATGTATACTCCCTAAAGCTCTCTTCAGTGAAGGAGATGGCCTCGGAGTCCTGAGTTCGAATCCCTACTCTCCCGAGTCCTTTACAGTTTAGCCGCCGGACCTAGGGCAAAGAAATCCCTTGACTTCTCTGTCTCAGTCTTTTCGTTTCTAAAGGTGGGGAAGACCATACCTGAGGCCTACAGCCTCATCTAGCACGTAGGTTATTGTGAGGGTCAGGCAAGACAATTGTAGAGCCTGGAGATGGTGTGATCTCATTTAATGCTTTTTTTTTTTTCCTGGCCTCCTGGACTTTAGTACTGTTTTCAGGGAACCAGCACCCCTCCACGTAAACCGGCGCCTACGATCTTCTGGAAGACTTATTTATAATAGAACAGGCCCTCCCTAAGGAAAGAAGGGGGCCATAGTGCCAGGGTCCCCATAATCAGTGACCTGTTTGCCCCCCACAAAGTAAATCTGCTCCTCAGCAAGGGCAGATTGTGGCACGGCAGCACCATCACCAGAAAATGCAGTTTCTTCAGGATTAACAGCCAGAAGTTTATTTCAAAGCTCTGGAAGAGGGAGGGGCGAGGCTGGTTTCCAACAACTTCCTGTTGACTGCTGGAGGTCAGCAGTGGCCAGTGAGCTGCACGGAGGAGGAGATGCAGGCCTGGGGCAATGCTGCAAGGCGGACAAGTGGAGTTCAGGAAGAGGGCGTTGACCACAAAACCGGCAGCCGGCAGCCGCAGCCACTAAAATATCAGGAGATGGGCAGAGGGGACATCAGCCCAGAGAGCAAGCCCTTCCCCTTGCCTTGTGCTGCGGTGCATCTCCATCTTGATTAGGGAACTATTAGGCTCCTGGTCTTCTATCTCCTGTGGCTCAGAGGAACTAAGGGACCTTTCCTCAGAAAAATACATTTATGTGCAGGGTTCATATCAGAAAGAATATGACAAGAATTCAAGATCTCCCACAAGAGTGGGGCAAAATTGGGATGGGCATTGAGAATCTAAACTGGCCACTGCCTGAAAATCTCTAGTGGCAAAAAGGAGCCAAATCAGGAAAAACTGTTAATTCTAAATATTGGAAAATCCAAACTCTAATTATTAGAGAAATTTTTTCCTAAATTTAAATCCAAATTGTTGCCTCTTCTTGTAACTTCCACACATGCATCACACACAGTTCTGCCCACTTAAGTCATATAGAATTGAGGAAAGCATACCTTTGGGTTTTTTGGAAGTTTCTCTGGAGTTAGAGCAGGTTATAAATCCCAGTTCAGGCACATAGAAGCTGTAGAAGCTGCGAGCCTACTCCCTAACCTGTCTGAATCTCAGTTTCTCATGAAAAATTCACTGAACAATGGGATCTTGCACAGGCAAGTGGTCAAGATTTAACGAGAGAAATCACATCAAGACTATCACAGTGCCTAGCAGACAGGAAGTGACCAGTACCTTAGTCTCATAGTTTTTAGGAGCCCAAATTCAGTGAGAGAAAATACTTTGTGGAGAGTCTGGAAATGGGATAGGTACTGGAGAGTACTGGAGGTACTGGAGAGTCTGGAAAAGGACTGAGAAGGGATAGAAACCACTTCTGCAGAAACTTTAAAGTTGAGTGTTGTCCCCCAAAAGTCTTCTGACACAGAGAGTGTTCACCCAGAAATAATGTGAGCCACTGCACACCTCCTGCACTTAACATAGCTCTTCATGTCTTTTTCCTACCCTCCAGCTTAGTCTGCCTAAATTCTCTTTTCAGTGTTCCATGGATCACTTCTGTTAAGAGTTGATTTATGTTTCCTAGAAAGACATGTTGCAGTCCTACCTCCCCCGTCCCCCACCCCACTTCTTGCACCTGTGAACGTGACCTTACTTGGAAACAGGGTATTTACAGATGTAATCAATTAAGATGAAGTCATTAGGGTAGGTCTTTATCCAGTGTGACTGGTGTCCTTGTAAGAAGAGAAGAGGCAACTGAGAGGAGAATGCCATGTGAAGACAGAGACACACAGGGAGAAGACTGCATTGAAGACAGGCAGAGATGGGAATTATGCAGCCACAAGCCAAGCACTATAAGAAGCCGGAAAGGATCCTCCCCTAGAGGTTTCAGAGGGAGCATGGTCCTTTTGACATCTTGATTTTAGAATTCTAGCCTGCAGATTTGTGAGACAGTAAGTTTTTATTTGTTACAGCAGCCTTAAGAACCTAAAATAACCTCCTAGTTGTGACTGCCTAAGATGTAGGTGAGAAGAGGATGATGTGAATCAGTCATTGACTATAGGAACTAGGAGCCAACATTCATTTTTTTTGCTTGTTCATTCAACAAAACACTGAGCGCCTATTCAGTGCTGAGGATGGAGTGAGGAACAAGAAAAAACTCAGGGAACATTTGTTTCATTGGAGGTTCTAGACCACAAATCTGTAAAGCTCAATAAAGAGGACTTTGAAGATGAGCCCTAAGCTGAGTAGGAACCTGCCACAGGAAGATGGAGAAGAGCACTCAACAGAGGGGAGGGCATGCACAAAGGTCCTGAGGTGGGCAAGAGTTGGGCATGTTTGAGGAAGAAAAGGAAGGGCAGTGTGGATTTACATCATCCTAGGCATTTACAAACTGTGTGATCATAGGAAGTCCTTTACCGAATTCTGGCAGTAAGGAACGCGTGGCTCAGAGGAAGGCCTCTGGGAGCCTTGCAAATCGATCGATCACCCTTTCTCTTGCCTTGCACTCCCTTCCATACTGCATTATCCAGCTTTATTTTCTCCCTGGCCTCTAGCACTCCCAAATATTAATTATATTACTTGATTAAAATCCCATCGTTCCTTGGAAAAGGGCCGGGTCTCTAACATCCAGTTCAGGAACTTTGTGCTAGTTTTGGGAGCCACCGATGTACAAATCTCAGGCCCTTCAAGACTTTATGCATACATAAAGACTTTATGTACATACAAGAAAGTGCTTCCCCTCCCCCTTTTAAAACATTTCAGAAATCTCTAGTAACTTCTTTGAGCCTTAGTTTGCGCATCTGTTAAAGAGGGATAAAGCCCTCTTTAGGCCCTGGAACTCAAGCTGAGCTCTCCCCGCAGTCCTGGGGCGCAGGGAGCGGAGACTGTGGAGTCTGAATCCCGATCTCGTAACCTATGTCTCCCAGCTGTGTGATCACGGGCAAGTTACTGCCAGTCTCTGAGACGTTTTTTCTCAACTGCAAAACGGGAGTAACTGGACCTACCTTTTGTGGAGTTTGTCATGCGCTGGAGAGTGGCGGAGGCTAGGCCCACGTCCCAGCCGTCCTTTCCCGCCCAGCTGCGCGGCTGGGTTCTCTCGGCCCCTGGGCAAATCACACCCAGCTCGGCAGCCCGTGGAGCGGCCGAGCGCGTGGAGGGGCTGGAGGGAGCCAGGAACCGCGCACTGGGCATGCGCGGCCGCTGGAGCCCGGGCGGCGGCCGGGACTCTCTCCGCGCTGCGCGCTGCAGTACCACCCGCGGCCTCTGGCGTCGCTGCGCGAAAGGCACGCCCAGCTCGGCGCGAGTAGAGCTCTACCCGGCGCGGGCCGGCGGTGCAGACCTGCGCTCACCTGGCGGCTGCTGCTGCCACCTGGGGCGCCCCCAGTTCACCTCCCTCGCTCCCGCTCACCTCAGGCCTTCGCCTTCGAGAATTGGGGATGTACCGCTTCGCTTTCGTTTCGCTTATGCCTTGGGAGCAGGAGTGTCGGGGGCAGGACTCGCCGGCGCAGCCTTACTGAGGCCTGGGGGGGGGGGGCTCCTGACCCAGGCTGGCGCCGGATCCGACCGTTCCGGACGAGTTCACAGCGCCCCGCCCCACCCATTTTATTAGCCATACAGGTAAATGTGCGCCTCCGCCTCTGGGCTGTAGGTTCCACCAGGACACATGCCACGTCGGTTTTGTTCATCGCTGAAGCCCCGGCACCTAGCATGGTGCCTGGCACAGAACAGGCCCGGCTTCCAGGGCCAATCTGGTCCAAGTCTCCTGCGTCCCTTGGCTGGACCAGGGCTGTGCAAAATGTAGAGGGGGTCAGGGGCCCCGTCCCCGAATCGGTTTAGAAACTTTCATTGTAATCTGACAAGGCTGCGGAGTCAGAATGTGGGATCAGCGAAACAGGGTAGAGGAACACTCTGGTGGGGTGTAGTCGAACTCGGAGTGGTTGCTTGTGACTCAGACTGCGTGGACGCGTGTAGGTTCAAAAAGGATAGGAGTGGAGGAAGACCTGGTCCTTCACCACAGGTAGATCTAGGCAGCTGCAGGAGTCTCCTGGCTCATGTCCCTGAATCCACTCGCCTGTCATCCATACCGTAACATTTAGAGTGGTCCCTCCAGAAAGCAAACTTAATACTTTCATTGCCCTGCTCAAGAGTCCTTGCAGGAGCCTTTGGTCCTGCAAGATGACCTGCCTGGCTGGTTATCTCTTACCCTCTCTTCCTACACTCTTGCAACACTGACTGCCCTCTGCACCACTGATGGACCTGGCTTCTCCTGTAGAAGGACCCTTGCACGTGTTCCCTCTGCCTGGGACATCTCTTAATCTTTCTCCTCTCAACTCAGAAATCACCACCATAGAGGCCTTTCTAACCACATCATCACTTCTCCTCATTTTCTCATTTCTGTGTTTTAGGTTCTTCAAAATAAACCA